AAAAAAGAGGCACTATGAAAAAGGATGGAATGTCTTCCTGTTAATGGATAATGTTTAAAGTATTATTTCTATGAAAGACATACTGTGTTATATACAAAGTTGAAGTATATAATTTAATACAAACTTCCAAATGGAATTTGCCAGTCATAATGTGGTATGAAATTATCCTATCAGACAAGTTTTCTTCTGTTTATTATTATGTTTGTGACTAGCTTCAGAGAGTCTGTTCCATTGTTTCGCTTTGTTATCTATTAACCCTACAGTAAACTTGTAATCCTCTTCTGTTGTGCTGACACCTGGTAACAATCACTCCCCTGGGAGCTGATGCAATACTACATCCTATGATTATATAGTATATTTTTGAACAATGAACTAATGAAAATATTAAACTGGGTGGAAGGATGCCATTATTTAAATATAGCATTTGCAAGTGAATCCAAAAGAAGCATTTTCTGTATTTAAAATAAACTTAAGACAGAATCTAATCATTTGTTTTTTCTGCAAAACTGTAAAATGGTGTAATTGTAGAATGAAACATGGACACTAAAGGGAATACCTCATTGAAGACACTGTTGAGGTATCAATTTTCTTCTGTTCCTTGGTTGTAGGCAAGTGTATTACTTAACCCAGGGTGAGAAATACATACATTTGAGGCTACTGCTCAGATTCCATGAACTATTGTAAATACAGGTGTCTGTTATGTTTTTAATTAATGATGTCAGGGAAATGGAATGTGAGGAAGGGGTCACTACAATTTCTTACAATTGTGTTCAGACTCAATTTAAAATGTCTGTGCACAGTAAAAAGCAGCATGGAGAGGCCATGTAGCGAGGTTGTAGAAATTGATTTGCTGGAATAACAGATCCTCTCAATGCAGAAAAGGAGAAACAAAGTTTTGATCTCTCTTTAAAAAAATTCATGATCTCTGCATCTGTGCTATGTCCTAAATCATTGATTGAGGACATTTTTTTTTTACCTGCTTTCTGGTCTCTGAGTGTGGTAGCAGGAAATACAGGTGCTGCTACCTTTGCATACAGAATAGTATCAGAAAAATGAAATTTTAAGATAAACTTCCTGGCCAAGCGGTCA